TTATCAGGCTCGTTTTAGAGGGGTTTTGAACACTTTTTTAGCTGGTCAGGCTGGTTTTGGCTGGTCAGTCTGGCTGGTCTTAGCTGGATTTTTTCAGCAGGGAGATGTGACGTAATGACTCAGTATAGCGTATACTAGCCGTAGTTTTTATTTCAAATATACTTTTAAGTGTCGAAGTACTCGAAAAGTGCACATCTAAATCAATTAAGCAACTTCTTTTTCACAAGGATTTGAAATCTGCTCTCTGGCAGAAGAAAGATGCTTTTTTTCGCATCTACCAGGAGCTGCTAACAGGGCCATGCTAGCCGGCTAAACCTCAACCTCTGGTGAATCAACACCTTTTACTGTGAATATAGGATCGACGCTCTTTGATCCTGATAGAGTTTTATCACACAGACCCTGATGTTTGAAAGTCAAAAGCAACAGCTTAACTGCAGATGAGACATCTCGTGCAGTCTCTCACAATCAACGTCAACACATCGTGACACCGTCGCACAGCACAGCTGGAAACTGGTTGATACGGCGGACACACATCACTGAACACGTCGCAGGTACACGACTGTCACAACGCGGAATCAATCTCATCTAGTCGCGAGCGTTTCATTAGCCTCCTTTGAATTCACATAAATGTCTAACAACTTGATTCTTTTAAATGCTTTAGCTTCCTAATGGAAAGACAATGGTGATTGGTTTCAGATTATATGCAGCGATGCTGAAGGAGGAGCTGAATAGACTGTATGCTTTTCGTAATGACAGGCAATATTATTCAAGCTAAATTAGATTACTCAAGCCCTCAGGGCCATCTCCATAAAGGTCACTGGAAATTGAACGGTCGCATACCGAATCGGTTTGTACCATTCAGCTTTAATCTGTGCCACAGACACGATGGGCAGAACATGGACATTTCTTAATACCGAGTAAACAAATGAAGAAGAACATTAGAGGGGATAGAAACAAACACTCATTGGCATGGCACTCAAGTCATGGATGGGCTTGCTAGATTGTACCATCAGAGAATGTTGAAGAATATTCGTGTAATATAGGTATAATATAAAGGGTGTTTGCAGGAGGACAAACAAAGACAGATGAACAAAGTTCTCGACGAATTTTTAAGTCCGCCAAGTCAAGTCACTCTGCTGATCATAGGAATATTCAGCATCAAACAGTATTCATATCGAACAGTTTTTACCTCTTGTAACCACAGCCGCGTCCAAGTGATCTGAGGGCATGGGGCTTTGTGACTGTGGTAACGAGGTTAAAACGATATAAATAATGTTCGTTTTCTCACACAAACCGCTCGTTTCGTGTCTTAGGCCACCAATGTGTGCTTATATTTGCGAGTCATTAAATCATGTTTAATTTGGACTTCTCTGTGCATGCTCTTTGAGGTGGTGACCATAGACCTCATCATATGACTGACAGACAAGAACGGTTTGACCTAAAAATATCAAAATTGAAAATACTGTGGAAACAAAGACACCTACATCTTGGAAACACCAACTAAACCTGATTGTGACTTAGACTTTACACGACTATTATGCTTGTATCAGCAATTTCAGCAACTAAAAAAAGAAAAACTTTTTATGCGTTTTAGGGGTTCGTTTACATGACAACGGCGTTTTGGGTGCCTGAAAACACAAACTTTGGAAAACGGGTTTCAAAGTGCAAGTTTTTGAAAACGGTCTGCGTGTAAACCAAAAAAAAAAACGAATCTCTGAAGTTGATGATGTCATGTGTGCATTACGTGTTCAGTCAATTTCATCGCCATCTAATGGCCTGGCAGAATACAGTGCTTTCAGTTGTTTTCGCAGATCCATGTGAATGGGGATCGTTTCGACAATGGTGTCGTCTGTACGTGGAAAACTCAAAGGAAAAACTTCTCCGTTTTAAGCATATCATTGTAAACGTATCCTAAGAGTGAAGACAGGGATAACTATATAGTGAACTAAACAATGTAATTAATAGAACACAGCTGGCACAAATGAACTAATAATGACGTGACCGTAACTAAAGAGTGGCGGGAAATCAAAGGAAGTCATGAACTGAAGAAATACAAACTAAAAGTCCTTAAACTGAATTAAACTATGACGCTTGGTATGGCATTTTACCGCCCCACATTAATTTAGTAATAATATTCTGTTCGAAAGCTCTGTAAAAAGTAGTAACTTGCAACCTGTTACCTTGTGATTTGACCCATAAAAATGGATTGGTTTGCAAAATGTATTTAGGTTGATTTTCCGATGTTGACTTGGATAAAACCAGTTAATTTAGATCTTACCATTTTTTCAGTGTGCCATTTATTGATTGCCAAGTAAAAGCAGCAAGTATGATCTCTTAGAAAAGTAATAGCACACCTCTCTTTTACATGCCATATAATATTGTATTATTTGTTTGTAAATGGTGCAGGAAGGGAATTGATGTTCTTCACCTTCTATTTAAGTGGTCGTTTTCTTTCATTTATCTTCTACAAAGGGATGTCCTTAATTTGAAAATAAATGAACAACCTGCCTGTCTTTAGCATATTCCCTTACTAGAGAGAAAAGAGGAATGCACAATTCATACCATCGATTCAAACCATTCATACATGTCACTGCAAGGTCAGACTCACTATTTATACTAAAGTGTGAGAAAACCTTCATTTATTTCATTTACATGTCAAAACAGTTCAGAGACAGGAAGCTAGTGTCACTGGATTGTATCAGAAAATGTTCAAAATGCTGACATTTTGGCCAGTATTTACATTTAACATGACATTTCTCAATTTGTTTCATCCTCCAAGTGTTTCAGCTTTATTCATAGAGCATAAAGATATTAATTCTGTAATTATTTACTTACCCTCGTTTCATTGGAACTCAAAATGTGAATTTGTTCAAAAGATTTTCCATAAGGAAAGAAAATGAGGATTTTATTTTATGTTTCTGGCAGCTTTTAATCCATTTTCCCATTACGAAATCCATATTTGGCGGCCATTTTGAAAAATGCCCGCCATGACCCCCAGGGGTCAAATTTCAAGCGCCTACGGTCCTAAATCTGATCAGACCCCCTTTGTGAGCCTTCCTACCAAATTTGATGCTTTTATCGCAAAGTGATCAATTTTTGCACTTAACTGCCCCACTATAAGGAAAGTGAATGAGGACTGGGGCTGTCAAACTCCAAAAAGATGTTTGCTTGACTCATTCATTGAACTGATTCAGTTCTCAAGTGACTCAATGCATTTGGAGCGACAAATAATGGCAGAAATTACATTTTAATTTCCTTTTAACACATACTTAGGTTGGGCATGGCTGAAGCACATAGCCTATTCAAGTCACATAATCTAACCTTCATATCAGGCTTTCGAAGCACGTTAAATGCGTTGAATGCCAAAGCACAACAGTCACATAACAAAGCAAATATGCATGAGTGAGACACCATACCTCAATTTAATTTATTTATGTGAGCAAAGATATGTTGGCTTTGTCCTTGATACAGAGAAATACTGAGAACAACATGAGCAAATCAATAAAACCAGAAGGACAAAATGCCTTCCTTGATGAACAGAGAGAACATTACAGGTATTTATAGTGAGTGATGCTTGGCAGTGAGGCATCCTGTAGTCATCCTGTTAATAATACTGTTAGAAGCACACAAAGTCAATGGGTTAGAGAAAAACATGCAAACATTTACATCTACCCACCACACACACCATTCTACAAAGAGCCATGGCTCAAAAGCTTGTGTCAAAATGGCTTTACTAAGAAAAGGTAGCTGTAAATGCTTCGATTTAGTGAAACACCTACCAGATATGTACATCTTTTTGCAACCTCTCCTTTTGTGAGGAAACACTCTTAGCAAGATGGGTTTGACCACTCTCACACGGATAATGCAGTCTTCTGGGACCTTAGAAGGAAAAAGCGCTAGACTTTTCACTAAGGACGCGAGATTGGAGAGGAAAACCGGCAGTAACAAAGAAGAGAGATGAGGTTATATTGTCGACTCAAAGAGAAATCCAGGCATAAGGCTCTGGTGAGGCTAAGACACTTCGAATGGTCTTCTTAAGGGCTGGATTGGCCACACTGATGTCTTTCACACTGCTCAACCATAGTGAGATGCTTCTCAGGGCTGACCGGCTCAAAACTTGTCCTTTATCTCCATATGTCTGACATCTCTCAGCACTTCTTTTATCAGTGGACTCAAACAAAGTCAGATCCCCAAAGGTGCCCCATTCAGAGACGGCACAGCCATCGCGAGAAGGAGTGGCTGTATTTAACCCACATTCAGGCAGAGACCAAGCTTTAAGTAGAGGTGAAACCCCTTGATGGAGATGAAGGCCGAGGAATTATATCACTCTTTGACAGATTCACAATGGAAAGCCACGACACTGGCTGGTTAACTACTGACACTTGGCATTCAGAATTCAAAGTGATGTATAAAACTTGAGGCCTTGAATACTTCTTCCCTGTGGAAAAGACCATCAGAGCAGGTCACCATCATATGTTTTGGATGCTGGTGCTTAGCAAAGGACACCGGAGTCTAAACCAGTTTCTAAACTAGCTTGACATCAAAACGGACCTATTTTCTTTCTGATCCTTCATTGTCTTTGTAATCTTTTAAAAATGTAGCTGTTTTTCTTTTTAGCTGATGTCAAAGTCAAAGTTTCACCCAGAAATGCATTAAATGACAGAAGTAAAATGGGTTGTGAATGCCTTTTTTAATGCTGACTTTAAAGGGATACTCCACTTTTTTGGAAATAGGCTCATTTTACAACTCCCCCAGAGTTAAACAGTTGAGTTTTACCGTTTTCTAATCCATTCAGCCGAATTTCTGATATTTAGAAGAATATCAGTAACCAGATAGTTTCTGGTCCATTGACTTGGAAGTCAATGGGACCAGAAACTATCTGGTTACTGATATTCTCTGGTCCCATTAACTTGGAAGTCAATGGGACCAGAAACTATCTGGTTACTGATATTCTTCTAAATATCAGAAAATCGGTTTCGAAAATTATAAAACTCAACTGTTTAACTCTGAGGTAAAATGTAAAATTAGCCTATTTCCAAAGAAAAGTTGAGTATCCCTTACCCAGCAAGACTTTCTTGGTCACGTTTTGTTGATAAACAGCATGTCTAAGGCCCTGTTTACTCCTGGTATTACTATTAAGATGCGTTTAGGTTGATCAGATCACAAGTGGACAATGCTAAATAAACGTGGTCTAAAACGTTTTGAGCTTGTCCCCTTTCGACCACTTCCAGAGGTAGTCGAAAACACATTGGACCATATTGCTTTCGTAGTTCATGTAGTCGCTCTAGTAGTCAAATGTGTTCAAACAGCCACAAAAGACTGATCTAACACTTAAACGTTATGGGAAGTGCGCTAGCCAGACGGGATTTAAACTTTGTTGGCTGAAGACCAAGTTTGGTTTAAAGACGAAAAACTTACAAAGCACAATGTTCTCTCATCATTCCTGATTTCGGAAACGGAAAACCCATTCGGAAACGAAAGCACTTGTGTTTTTCCGTTGTCTCCCAGCGTGTTCAATTGCGGGAACTTATTTCGTCCGTTAGATCGAAAGATCTGAAAAAGCCCATACATTTACCCACCCATAGACCCTCCTCTCGAAGAAATTGGGAATCAAGAAGTAGTTGAAAGTTGACAAATGAGACGGATTAAAACATCTGGTGTAAACGGGAATGCGTCTCCCTCGTCTACTTGTGATCTGATGGACTAAAACGCATCTTAATACCAGGTGTAAACAGGGCCTAAGTGTTTCCACAAGATAGGAAAGCATTATGAAAACATTAGGAAGAACATTATGAAAATCCAAGCTGCTCTTTTCAGTAGGGGGTTATACAGTTGACTCTGCCAAGATGATAGGCACACTGAATAGAGCTAGACAACTGTGGCTACAAACATATGACACAAACAAGGGTCTGTACTGAACACATAATGGCTTTAACTGTGAGTCTACTTTAGCACCATCTCATAAAGTGAGAGTCATTATCATGTTGGTAAACATTGAGAGTATGGCACTGTACCGATATTTACTCTCAATTACGGGAACGGACTGGCTTACACAAAGGTAATATCTGAAGCACTGCACCTTATGGTCAAAAGGTTATCCATTTTACATTTGCGTGTCTTGCCCTTTGATGAGAGATGGGTCTCTCTGAGAGTTCATGTTTATATGTGAGGAACAATATAACAAGAAAAACAAATTAGCGCATTTGCAGTGATTGTTGAACGTCGAGATCAAATCCTTTCTTCTTTTACACAGTGCTTCTCCTTCACCGATGACAGACGTCATTGGTCGACCAGCTTCATCAATGAGTATCGCTTTCTCTGGCACCTGCCACAGACCACTGAGCCTCACTGGCTATCCATTCAGTATGGGCATAACTTGATCTCTTCCGTTCTAGTGTGCCCTCATACAGGTGTTGTCCTCCTGTTGATACCATCATTAAGGTCTTTGGGAAAGCAGTTGTGCACTTGGAGGAATCCAGAATCGTGGTCAGGGCTGTAGGAGCTGTCCGTTCCTGACTTAAGCGGATCTCTTGTCAATGTGTACATGTTGATCTCTCCTACAGGAACCGAGCTTATCATCTTCATGCCCACGGGTGACGCCTCACGGGATGCTTCTGTGGAGCGAGAACTGGAGTGTGAGTGCCGTCGGCGGTAGCGAAAGCTGGGTATGCGGGAATACGGCGAAGAGGACAGGGTAGCCTTGATGAACTCTCGGTGTGCTTTGAACCGGACTTCTTTGCTCTTCTCAATGTAGATACTAACAGCTAGAACGGCAACCGCCTCAGCCACAATGAAGGAGAGCGCTCCGAAATAGAACGACCAACCGTAGTAATACAAGCTCTTTTTGTCTTCGTCACGATTGTCACTGGGGTCACCGGCGTTGCTGGAGATGTAGACAATTATACCGATGATGTTGCTCAAACCTGCCAGACACAAAACAGAGCCAGGCATAAGCAAAATGCCTTGGAAAAAGCAATATAACAGATTTATGGCTTAACTTAATATGTTACATTTGGCTGATTGGGATACATCAACCGCACCGCCATATTTGAAAGGTTAACACTGCAGGTTGAGCTCATCAGAAGTAGTCACTGCTCAACCTGACAAAAATGCTACAACATTGTGGAGCTTACGGTTGTACGAACTGATGATACAGACTCTAGACAAAATGGGAAAACTTTGCACAGGGGAGAATACTAATACTAATTGCAACAGACTTCAAATATCTAATCAACTGCATGTGTTTATGTCAAGGGGTCAAGGTTTGGCTGGGTAACTCGGGGGTAGCCAGCCCTGCTCCAGTACTGCTGGTTCAGGTGTGTATGATTAGGGTTGGCGCTAAACTCAGCAGGAAGGAAGCTCTCCAGATGAAGGGTTGACTATCCATGCTGTACCCCTGGTCCTACTTGAACCGCTCAGAATGTGATACAAACCAGCATACTAAACACTGCAGCCTCTAGAATCAGTTGCTAGTGCACCTCTTTGGGCCAGCGAAGTGAGGTTTACCTGTACAGCTCTTACTGAGCATCACTCCCATCCAGAACCATCACTCCCATCCAGGTCACAGCACCAATGTAACTGTTCCTACTTGCATCACTCTGAGCAGGATGTGCATCAGCCATAGTGGTGGGCACGCTAACAAAGACGGCAAAGACTGCAGCATCTAGTGCACCTCTCGAGACCAGGGGAGTGAGGTTTACCTGCACATCTCTTACTATCTGGCCTCATTACACTCACCCCCTAAGCATCACTCCCATCCAGTTCACAGCACCAATGTAACTGATCCTACTTGCATCACTGTGAGCGAGATGTGAACCAGCATCAGCCATAGTGATGGGCACGCTAACAAAGACGGCAAAGACTGCAGCATCTAGTGCGCCTCTCGAGACCAGGGGAGTGAAGTTTACCTGCACATCTCTTACAATCTGGCCTCATTAATCTCACCCCCTTAGCATCACTCCCATCCAGTTCACAGCACCAATGTAACTGGTCCTACTTGCATCACTGTGAGCGAGATGTGAACCAGCATCAGCCATAGTGGTGGGCATGCTAACAAAGACGGCAAAGACTGCAGCATCTAGTGCACCTCTCGAGACCAGGGGAGTGAGGTTTACCTGCACATCTCTTACTATCTGGCCTCATTACACTCACCCCCTAAGCATCACTCCCATCCAGTTCACAGCACCAATGTAACTGATCCTACTTGCATCACTGTGAGCGAGATGTAAACCAGCATCAGCCATAGTGATGGGCACGCTAACAAAGACGGCAAAGACTGCAGCATCTAGTGCACCTCTCGAGACCAGGGGAGTGAAGTTTACCTGCACATCTCTTACAATCTGGCCTCATTAATCTCACCCCCTTAGCATCACTCCCATCCAGTTCACGGCAGCAATGTAACTGGTCCTACTTGCATCACTGTGAGCGAGATGTGAACCAGCATCAGCCATAGTGGTGGGCACGCTAACAAAGACGGCAAAGACTGCAGCATCTAGTGCACCTCTCGAGACCAGGAGAGTGAGGTTTACCTGCACAGCTCTTACTATCTGGCCTCATTAATCTTACCCCCTTAGCATCACTCCCATCCAGTTCACAGCACCAATGTAACTGGTCCTACTTGCATCACTGTGAGCGAGATGTGAACCAGCATCAGCCATAGTGGTGGGCATGCTAACAAAGACGGCAAAGACTGCAGCATCTAGTGCACCTCTCGAGACCAGGGGAGTGAGGTTTACCTGCACATCTCTTACTATCTGGCCTCATTAATCTCACCCCCCTAAACATCAATCCCATCCAGTTCACAGCACCAATGTAACTGGTCCTACTTGCATCACTGTGAGCGAGATGTAAACCAGCATCAGCCATAGTGGTGGGCATGCTAACAAAGATGGTAAAGACTGCAGCATCTAGTGCGCCTCTCGAGACCAGGGGAGTGAAGTTTACCTGCACATCTCTTACAATCTGGCCTCATTAATCTCACCCCCTAAGCATCACTCCCATCCAGTTCACAGCACCAATGTAACTGGTCCTACTTGCATCACTGTGAGCGAGATGTAAACCAGCATCAGCCATAGTGGTGGGCACGCTAACAAAGACGGCAAAGACTGCAGCATCTAGTGCGCCTCTCGAGACCAGGGGAGTGAGGTTTACCTGCACAGCTCTTACTATCTGGCCTCATTACGCTCACCCCCTAAACATCACATCCATCCAGTTCACGGCAGCAACTGGTCCTACTTGCATCACTCTGAGCCGGATGTGAACCAGCATCAGCCATAGTGGTGGGCACGCTAACAAAGACGGTAAAGACTGCAGCAACTAGTGCACCTCTCGAGACCAGGGGAGTGAGGTATACCTGCACAGCTCTTACTATATGGCCTTATTACACTCACCCCCCTTAACACACCCATTCAGTTCACGGCACCAATATAACAGGCCCTACTTGCATCACTGTGAGTGGGATGTGAACCAACATCAGCCATAGTGGTGGATGGTAACAAAGGTAGTAAAGACTGCAGCACTTCTTAGCTATTCTCCGTTACCTTAGCATGGTCCAATTAGCCCCTGCTGGTAGATGTTGTAACTTCAACCTCTGGCTAAAAAAAGCTGAGATGAACGGGGATGCTAACAGATAGCTTTCTCCAGGCATTATAAACCTCATTGGTTTACATATAGATCTTGACCTTTCCAATATGACAGACACGATGATGTATTGTGGTAATTAGTATCAGTTGCTAATGCAAGACCTAACAAGACACACTATTCTGCAAGTAAACCCTATCTAGCCTAGCATTGCTTTTACTTAAGTATTTAACACAATTACTGTTTAGATAAAGAGTCTTTTCATCATGTATTGGGTTATGAAACTATACAAGGAAGGCACTTTTTGTATAAGCTATATCTGCCCACTAAATTCAGTTAAGTAACAGGTAAAAAAAAAAAAGTGGAGGAGTTGGAGTTGTTGCCCACCTCATTTCCAGTGAACCTGCCAGTAACATCAGTGATAAGTTGGAATATCAGAGCATGGATATTGGCCTATACTATATTACAAATATATTCAGTGAACAAAGTGTATTTAGTAATGGTGCTAAAAATGTCTAGTCAATTGAAAAGCCCCTGTGTGCCTGTTAGCAGGTGGTCATTAGCAAGGTTTACCTGCTGCCACAAACAGTATCCCTGCGCAGAGTAATATGTTGTTCCACTTGATGTAGATGCGTCCCACCCCAACACACAGCCCTCCCAGCAACAGCAGAATGGTACTGAGGATGGGGAACACACTGGAGGCACGCACAATACCTGTTCACACACACACATAAACACAGCTTTTACTTGAGAAAGATGTCAAAAAGTGCATCATAAGAATTTCAACATTGAGTTATAGGCAGCAACACTCATATTCCTGAAGAGAATGTCACTCACGCAAGAGATACTCAGAGCTGTCTGTGTCATAATCATTATCATCTGGGAAATGATTGATTCGGTAACAACTTCCTTCGTTGATACCTACAAAAATATGAAACCAGTCAAGATTAGTTGTGAGGACATGCAAATAAATGCAAGTCACCAAGCAAAAGTTAGAACACTGGTCAGCAGAACAAACTATCTTCTATTCCCCCTTTTTTTGAAGACATCCTCCATATGGTAGCAAATACTTTTCCGGAGAGTTACACCACAAAGTATATGATTTCCAGTATGATCAAGTACAAGCCAATTATTTGAGCTTCGAGCCAATCATAAAATGCCTTATTAAATTGCCTGATTTAGGATGTAAATGCAATTCATCTATAGTATGATTTTGAGACTAATATCTAGCTATATTTTTCAGCATCACATGCATGAGCATCACATTTTTCAAAAAGGTCTCTATTCCATTCATCAGCACTGCAGCTCTATCTGGATATATTGTGTGGCGTCTTGTGTTTTTAAAAAACGCATTCCAGTAATCGTCCCCTTACGCCTGTCACTCGGAAATCAAAACATGTTGTCAAATCGGACAGACAGTGAAACTAAAGCGCTTCTTAACTGGGTGAACGAAAAAAGCAACATAGCGTTTAAAAGGAATTTCTGATGAGTGACAACAGAGAGTTTACTGTTATTTTGGTTCTGATGTATGAATGGTATCTGAATGGTAAAAGAAAGATGGAAAGATATGAACTAATTGCCCAAATGGCCTTGGTGAGTTTCAGAAGCAAGCTTTATGATTTTCTCTGAAACAACTTTCTCTGGAAGACCAAGAATGTGTATTAAGAAATTAAAATTCATTTTTGATGACATTTTGACTTTAAAGTGCCCCTATTATGCTATAGTAAAGGTTCCTAATGTTGTTTTTGAGTTCTCCTACAATTGGTTTACATGCATCCGAGGACGAACATTACTTACATTTTTTAATAATATAAATTTCAGCATCAGCTCTTTTTTCTCACAGAGTCTGATACGGCTTAATCAAGGACTCAGTCTCTCCAAACCCCTCATTTTCGAGAGCCTACTCTGCTCTGATTGGTCAGATGACCCAGTCTGTTGTGATTGGTCTACTCTACTTGGATTGGTCAGATGACCCAGTCTGTTGTGATTGGTCTACTCTGCTCTGATTGGTCAGATGACCCAGTCTGTTGTGATTGGTCTACTCTGCTCTGATTGGTCAGATGACCCAGTCTGATGTGATTGGTCTACTCTGTTCTGATTGGTCAGATTACCCAGTCTGCTCTGATTGGTCAGATGACCCAGTCTGTTGTGATTGGTCTACTCTGCTCTGATTGGTCAGATGACCCAGTCTGTTGTGATTGGTCTACTCTGCTCTGATTGTTCAGATGGCCCAGTCTGTTGTGATTGGTCTACTCTGCTCTGATTGTTCAGATGGCCCAGTCTGTTGTGATTGGTCTGCTCTACTCTGATTGGTCAAATGACCCAGTCTGTTGTGATTGGTCTACTCTGCTCTGATTGTTCAGATGACCCAGTCTGTTGTGATTGGTCTGCTCTACTCTGATTGGTCAAATGACCCAGTCTGTTGTGATTGGTCTACTCTGCTCTGATTGTTCAGATGACCCAGTCTGTTGTGATTGGTCTGCTCTACTCTGATTGGTCAAATGACCCAGTCTGCTGTGATTGGTCTACTCTGCTCTGATTGGTCAGATGACCCAGTCTGTTGTGATTGGTCTACTCTGCTCTGATTGTTCAGATGGCCCAGTCTGTTGTGATTGGTCTACTCTGCTCTGATTGGTCAGATGACCCAGTCTGTTGTGATTGATCTACTCTACTCTGATTGGTCAAATGACCCAGTCTGTTGTGATTGGTCTACTCTGCTCGGATTGGTCAGATGACCCAGTCTGTTGTGATTGGTCTACTCTGCTCTGATTGGTCAGATGACCCAGTCTGTTGTGATTGGTCTACTCTGCTCTGATTGGTCAGATGACCCAGTCTGTTGTGATTGGTCTACTCTGCTCTGATTGGTCAGATGACCCAGTCTGTTGTGATTGGTCTACTCTGCTCGGATTGGTCAGATGACCCAGTCTGTTGTGATTTATCTACTCTACTCTGATGGGTCAGATGACCCAGTCTGTTGTGATTGGTCTACTCTGCTCGGATTGGTCAGATGACCCAGTCTGTTGTGATTGGTCTACTCTGCTCGGATTGGTCAGATGACCCAGTCTGTTGTGATTGGTCTACTCTGCTCTGATTGGTCAGATGACCCAGTCTGTTGTGATTGGTCTACTCTGCTCTGATTGGTCAGATGACCCGGTCTGTTGTGATTGGTCTACTCTGCTCTGATTGGTCAGATGACCCAGTCTGTTGTGATTGGTCTACTCAGCTCGGATTGGTCAGATGACCCAGGCTGTTGTGATTGGTCTACTCTGGTCTGATGACCCAGTCTGTTGTGATTGGTCTACTCTGCTCTGATTGGTCAGATGGCCCAGTCTGTTGTGATTGGTCTACTCTGATTGGTCAGATGACCCCGTCTGTTGTGATTGGTCAACTCTAATGGCTCAGATGGCTCAGTCTGTTCTGATTGGTCTACTCTAATGTCGGCAACACAAACCAAACTCTTTCAGTTTCAACTACAACTGCAGTATTTAAGGGTAAATGTAGACATTCCCAGGCAGTCAATGAAGACAACTGGCTGCCATTATGCAAATGTGTTTCAAACAATTTATAACAGGAAGTGGGACTGGAATTACTGACGACTTATTTCAGACAGTTCAGAATCGCTTCTTTCTTTTAGGAGACAATAACTTCATTTGACATCACAAACAGCTATATTACACACTGCATGAAAGGTAATATTCGAAAAAGCTACTTTAAGTGAGGAGATATGTGTTCATTAGGTCTTGGTATACATCATAAATTGTAACATATCAAACCTCCCTGTCTCTGTCTGTCTCCATGTGGAGTCTACCCCCTGTGACACAGCTTTTGTGTGACCCAGCATGCCATTAATTGGGTCTAGAGTTTAAAAAAGGAGCAAAATAATTAGAATTAAATAGGTCTGAGAAAATGGGGCATGTGTTTCTAGTCAAGTCATTGTAAAAAAAAAAGAGACCTCAGTTAAAAAAAAGCCTTCATATAAAAAAATATATATTTGAAACCCTAAACATTATGCTACATATGCTGCCTATATACAGTTGCAAAAAATAATACCCAGCCTATTATAAAATGCCAACTTCCAGCTTTGCAGCAACTTTATTTTCATTTCTTTAGCAAATGCCTCTCATTTAGAGACCACTTTTCACCACCTAATCAATTCTCAATGTGTAGTCACACTCAACATTGCATGAAATATCATGTTTCACTCTGATATATGTCACATTATGCAAGTAAAATAGGACGCAAAGGCAATTTCTTGCTGCCTCTAAAAACATGGTTTCTTACGAAATAAAACAGTATTTCAGTATAAGACTTTTTAACCATCAGAATATGTGTATAGGGTGTATCTATATCAGAATAAAATATCAGAATAAACTTTACTGTGTGTAATAATATCCATAAACAATAGGATACTGTCCAATAACTGAATTTATGGAGGATGCACAGATATTTATTACATTTTTATTAGAACTATTATAGATAACTGATATGGTATGAGATATAAATCTATACTTTTTAATCTGTTAGGAAAAAAAACAATGCATTATAATATTTGATATTTTTTCTCTGTACATTGAACGTCAGATAGTAATACTGAATGTAGTCATATTGTCATAGAAATATTGTACATCTTTCAATGTATTGTACACAATTTATTTGATTGCAAGGCTTTAAATATCTCTCATCATTCATATCTTCAGCCATACTTTTATAATTTTACAAAAAATAGAAAGTATTTGGAATTTGCATGAGCAAAACATGATGATCATGATCTCCTGCATTGTTTGAGAATGATCCAAAGAGCATCTGGTCCTCCAAAGAAAGCAAGACAATCGGACCTTTTGTACAGTTTAAATGCTTCATGCCACGAATTTGCTTATTTGGACCTAGAAATAGTGGCAAATCTAATCATCCGTTATTGAAAAAAAAATCATCCATTTTTCTTTCCTCAAAATCCTTTGCTGTTTCTTTCCAGGTTTAAAGGGGTCCTATTATGCCCTTTTACAAAGTCTTGATTTTATTTTTGGGGTGTACTAGAATATGTTTTAATGTTTGATTGTTCAAAAAACGCATTATTTTTCACATATTTTACATTATTACGGCTCCTCTATCCCCAGTTCCGACATTTGAAATGTGCTGTGATTGGTTCGATGTGTGTGTTGTGTTTGGCAGCACCTAGTGTGTGTTTGGGAAATGTCCCGCAAGCTCTTCTCAGATGCAAATATTAAGGCTGGCGTCAATTTCAATCCAATTCCAGCCCGATTCAGACCCTGACAATGTTAACGAACAAAAGGATCATGCAGAACGGACTTTGCATGCACTGATTTCACAGGACGTTCCAGAGGGGTCTGTTTTTGTATTTTTCTAATGGATATAACTGGTGTTATCCACCATTTAATCATATTTGTCAGAAAACTATGGTAATACAAACAGTAATCGATCATTAAATCTTACAAAAGCAAGAGCTTACAAAAGCTGAAGTAAACTGCATCAATTCCTTTACATCATAGCTATCATAGCAACTACATAAAACATATAATTGTGACTGTTAATAGAAAACACAACTACAAATAATAAGACATGCTTACAAGTTGTATTCCATAAATGGGAACGGCTGTCTCTCAGAAGAAGCTTTTGTGCGTATAGCCTGCATTGTACTCAATTTTTCAAATTTCTCAAGTTTTCCTCCGAAATTTTTGCACGTTAAAAAAAAATAAATACGACCTCATGTTATGTCAATCACGCTTGCACACTGCCTCCGAAACTTTCGTCCATCATAAAAAAAAAAATCGAATTCGATCGGTTCGATTTTCTGCGTTTTTCGCATCCGTAGCGAGCAGTTTGAATGGAGTTTGAATGGTATTTTGACAATTCAGAGCCACCGAATTACGAATACAAAAAAAACGCATACGAAAATTTCGGAC